GTAGTAATATACAAGCAGAAAATGTTGAAACTTACTACAGGCTCAAATTGTACATACCTTTGTTGGATCATGTTACGAACGACTTTCGTTTTAGGTTTGATGAAGAGGGACTGAATACTTTTGAGTTCAATTTTTTTTTTATTCAATTTTTTGTTCAAGAAATATCGATGCATTTAGTAAATCACTTCAAACAATAAAAGACTACATCAATTGGTTGCATGAGAATATGAGCAATGATATAACTATCATAAAACTAAATTCTGAGTTTCAGTTGTGGAAATCCGTTACTCAAAATGATGTTAAAGATTTAGATCTCTTTATATCTTGTGATGGAGATATGTTTCCCATTATTAAACAATGCCTACAAATACTTGTCACCTTGCCTGTTATTAGTGTGGCTTCTGCCTTAAACGGTTGAAAACTTGGCTACGCTCAACCATGCTGCAAGAAAGGCTTTCAGGTTTGGTAATGCTATGCATACATAGAGAGATTCAGGTAGATGTCGAAGATGTTATTAATCGATATGCTACCAAAAAAAATAGAAGACTAGACTTTCTTTCCAAAGAGTTTTTTTGTTATATTTTGAGATGTTTTTTGTTATTTTTGTATTTCATCCTTGTTTTATTTTTGTTCAAATGTTGATGAACATTTTTTTATGTTCTTGATTTTTTTATTCGTTTTTCATTTTTAGTTTCCATACTCAATGATAGGTTTCTGTTTCCTATATATTTTATGTGAATATATCATATATTAAATATCTACCTGATTATTGGACATTTACCCCTCCCAGAACTAAATCCTAGATGCGCTACTGGGGAAAACGATTTTTTTTTAAATTTCAACACCCTATATGTCGAAGGTTAAGATGTTTAGAGCATATGTTCATATAACTTTTCCTCTTAACATGAGCTGAGTAACCATATCCTTCATTTTCAGCCATCAACCAAATATATACATATAGGTACTAATTATACTATATGCCATACCTCAATCCTCAGTACTATATCTACCTACTATTTCATTTTTTTTCTGATTTCGATTTACAGGGTCATGTATAATGTCTTCGATAGTTAACGCGAACTATACAGGGTGTCCTATAAGTCATTGATCAAAAGAAGTGGGGCTGTAGGGGGGTATTCCTAATCGAACTACCAACTGTGGGTATAATATGTGGTTATCTAATTGTTGATGGTTCAAAAGTAATCCAATTGTTTTCATTTCTCCCTAAAATCATTTAATTTGTTGACAACAAAATGAATTACAATAAACTTTAGGCAACAACTTCAGACTTTCAGACAACAAAAATGTTTTCAACTTTTATGATAAATGTTCAAAATGTGTGCCGTGACAGTTGACACCTTTTTATTGTAGATTTCATGAAAAGTCTCGGAACGGTCTCTTACATATTTCAGAAACTGCTCAATAAAAAATCACAAAATAAAATAACTGAATCAACGACTGGAAGTCAGACACTCAAACGAAATTTTAACTGATAGTTCCGATCATGTGATGAAATACGGTTGTGTGGTAGACATTTTTAGCACTCAGTGATATATTAACCGTGTGGTGGTCGGATTAGAATAACCCCACATTAAGTCCTGCCTGTCATAGAAGGCGACTAATAGGACGCCAATAGGTGGAAGATGGTTAACGCCATCGCCCGGTGCGATACCACCACATCAACCATAGGCACTGTGAAATGGGTATACTTACCCGTGTTTCAGTAGCTGGTTGATGTTCCGGCCACCCCAACCCAACCCAATTTCCTTTTCCTTCCACGCCAACCTCCCTTCTTTATACAGAATACGCGATGATGAGTTCTCCTCAAGTAAAATTATCCGGAAGTAAAATACCTCTC